ACCAGCATGCCAGAAACAATGAATAATACATGACATTGTTAAATCCCAGGCATTCAGCAGTCTCTGAGGGTCTAACTAATTAACTCTTCAAGGAAATTCTTAGGAATATCCTGGAGACTGCAGGACCTCACTTTCCAGAGGGTAGGCAGCTGAGGTTGGAGACTATCGGGGAGGTTTTGTTTTTAGTATTTTGCTAGAAACACACTAGAATGCACGTAGGAGCTGGAAGCCCCTCTCAGCATGTGGGCGGCCTCTACATTTTAAAATGTGGACAAGGAGCCAGAGAGTTTGATGGCATCACCATGCATAGGAGATATCTGTGCAAGGCAAGCACCCTTCCAGAGCTCTGAACAGTAAATCATACACCAGATTTTCCATGCAATGGACTCTACATTCAGGGGCTACAAGGCAAGGTTGGAGTCCAAGGGACCCACGATTAAATTTTGTTTCCCTCAATCAGCAGAACAGAGATTAATGCCACAGCAATACATTGGCACCGTCTGTCTGAGGGCTTCTGCTGAGGGCAGGCATCTGACTGCTTATGTCCTGATGTTACCGCAGCTGGAGGAGGGTGTGGGGAGCTCTTTAAACTATGATGTTGTGAAATAGGGAAGACATGGGGAGAGTCGCTTGAATCCCTGACTGCTGTGCTTAAAGCAGATAGACTTGTCTTTGCTGCTAAATAATAGCCTTTTTCTCTCACCCTTTTCATGTTGAAAAGCAAGCTAAAGCTTTGACCCTTGGCTGATCAGAGGTTGCTTGAAGAGATGACTGGAGAGACTAGCACAGATTTAGTCGAGAGAGTTGAAGAGTTTAAAAGTTGAATGCGATTAAAGAGCTAAATACTTGTTTTTCATATTCTTTGGGGATGTGGTTTGATCACCAATGTGCCAATAATGAGACTGCCTCAGTTTTGCTTCTTACACTTTTTGTGGCATCCACCAGACACAGCTTAGGAGACCCCCAGGCGTCCTATGGTTAAGATTATGAGCAATGGAAGCTGTGTTTGGTCAAAGGATGAACTTTACAGGAACGCCAGGTAAATGTGCAGAAGCCTGCCTCTAACAGAAGCCTCACTTACCTCTACCCCTATGGCTGCTCTGTGAGGTCAGGACACTTCTCGCAATACTGTAGGGGGACCCGCCGTCCCAGTTTGCCTGGGATTGAGAGGCTCCCCAACACAAAGAACAGCCCAGGATCGTTAATTGCCATAGCAAAGTTCAGATGTAAACTTTCTGTGGAATATCACTATCATTTCACCAAGTTCAAAGCTGACAGAAAAGCCACTCTGTGAAAAAAGGCTGAGTCCAATGTGCCCCTCCTTTTCATTTCTTATGCTGAGGCATGAAGAGGGGCTCTGGAGACGGTGTTTCATGAGGCTGGAGCCTAAACCTCATTGAATTCTAGTCAGCCTCCAGAAAGCTGAACACTCTCCTCCTGTCTTCTTGCAATCAATTCGTTGTCATCAGAAGTGTGTGACACCTCGAAGGGAGGACATGTCTTGAAAACTGATCAGAGAAATTGTCCTGAAAATGATGCTGTAAAATGGAAATGAGACCTTTAGAGGGAGAGTTGCTGAACATGAGACCTCGGTAAGCCTCAGGCTGGAAACCAGAGGAAGAGGAGGGAGAAGCCAGGCAGGGGCGACCCAGCAGGTCAGTGTCCCAGGACCAGGTGTAGAAATGGTCCTCTGACCTTCAGTGGGAAGAAACTCAGCCTCACAAATCCAGGTCCCTTTGGGTGAGTTTCTTCTCCCCAGAATTAAAGAGGAAGGTGAGCCTCGGCGGCCTGGGGTTCTTGTAAAGGCCTCCATCACAGTGTTAATACTGGTGGCTATGGAAAGCTGATGTTTGGACAGGGGACCACCTTGACTGTCCATCCAAGTAAGTGTAACAGGACACAACAGCATACTGAAAATTCTGGAGTTTTGCCCCTGGTGTCAGATTTGAAAGAAACGTATGTTGCCAGGGAACCAGATCTTGCTTGAAATTAACTAGTGGCCTCCAAGATCCTGTCCCTCCTTTAATCTCCATATTAATAATTCCCTTTTGGGTCCAGGTGTATCCTCTTGCTATTAAGTAAAGCTGACCTTGACCCTGGAAAGATAGAAAAGAACCTTTGCTGTTTTCAGAGCCTTCTCTAGAGATGATGTTCAGTTTTGGGGGTGGAGAGTCACCCTTTCCAATGGACTCCCCTAAGTAACCCATTCTAACATTTAGTATCCTTCGTATCAGAAAGTTCGTCCTTACATCAGTCTTAACTTCTTCTTGGCTCCGCTGAGGCTATTTCCACTGGCATCCACAGTGGAAGGGGTAACCAAGCAGAGTTGGAACAGGCAGGTGACACTGCGTTCCAAATGGGTATTAAATGAAAGTGGAGAGGGAGAAAACGACAACTGAGTGGGAAACTGAGGTCTTATTTCAAATCCCTCCGTGTTCCCTGCCTGTCTCCCACGGCATCTGTAGACGCAAAACTACAAAGAGAGAGACGGGGGGTGGGGGAGACGGAAAGAAAGACGCATCCACTGTGTTCATTTCCAGCTCTGACCCCACCAGTCGAGAGATTACGATTCATTCCCAAGAGCTTCAGATACAAGACTTAATACCTTTCTCCTCATGGTGACTTGTGTCCTTGCTGATAATTAGAGCAGATAGAAAGATTTGGCTTCAGTGTGTTTGTGGCTGCACCCCGCCGGGAAGAGAGAGGAACTCTGTTTTTTTAAGATTCATAAAGTTCCTCCTGCCAGTTGCTGTAAAATGCCCTGCTGCAGGGAGAAGCGTGACAGCTCCGAGAAGCTGATATTTGGAAAGGGGACGCGGTTAACCGTGAAGCCAAGCACGCCAGAAAGACTCAAACTCACAGGGTCCCCCATGTCTCTTTGCATTTTAGGCCTGCTGGCTCTTCCTTGCAGGAATTCTAACAGAGTCAGCTGGTAATAGATCAGTGGGAGTTGGGAGCCCCGTGGGTGCTCAGAAACAATAAATGAAAGGAATGAGAGGCAGGGAGGAGGTGGGAGTTACAAGGCAGTAATATATTTTTAACTGCAGCTTGATTAGACAGGTGTGGGGAGAGGGGTTATCCAGAGAAGAGCATCATCTCTCTGATTGTGAGTTCAGGTACTGTTTTCCCAGGCTTTCCATCATGGGTAGTGTTTTTCCCCCATGCCAAAGGGGGACAGTCCAGTCCCTGTACCTGTGTACAGGCTGAGTCGATCAGGTGAGCAGCATAGTCCTATGCTGTGTGTGCGGAGGGGTGGTCTGGCATCGTTGTCTGTCTGCTGCACTGAGTATCAGCATCAGGGCACACAGGTGGGTGAGCAGCTAGAATGTGCAGCTACTATAAGGCTGAACGTTGGGTTGTTACGAGCATTTTGAATGTGTGAGATGCCTCCAAGGAAAGCCTGGTTCTAATGAGCAGGGAGCAGGTGGGACCAACATTGCCCAGATTTTATTGAGTTTCTCCAAGCCCAGTAATGTGGGAGCCAAAGCTGAGAGGTTGACTTTTGAGCCTGGGATCCTTTTGACTGAAACCTACCAAAGGGGTCAGAAAGGCCGAAACTGCCTTGAGAGTTCTACTTTTGTTGTCGGCTCTCTGGCTGTTGTCATTTCAGCAAAACGCGTCCGCTTAGAAAGGTCAGCTCTTCATTAGCGCACAGATAAGAACAACACATTGACCAGAAATAAGGAGCAGGGAGCCCAGATCTCAGCCTCTGAGAGCCTGGCATTTCCAGTTCTTTAATCACAGCGTGCCTGTGAACATATGTATCTCAGAGAAGGCGGAGCAGTGGTGCCTGAGGACCTGCTGAAACCGAGCAAGGGCTTGGAGAAGAAATAAGATGCAGATTGGGATGTCGTGCGGATGTGGGGCTAATAGAGAAGGGAGGAAGAGACAAGGGAGCTTACCGATGCTTTTAAAACCTGTCACATGTCAGAAATTGTAATGACGCCAGGTCGGAGAAGTGCACATTCCCAGAAAGGTGTGAGTCATCCCGAGGGAACCTGGCTGAACTGTGGCTCCCCACTCCCAGATCCCATCCCTTGGCTGTCTGAGGTGCTTTTGAAGTGGCATCAAGAAAGCCTGGAATCTAAGATCTCTAAGAGTCACCTGTCAGTTATTGCAAAGGGTTGAGTGGCTGTGTGACACCTTCTCCAACAAGTTGGCATTTGGGCAGGGGACAAGCTTGTCGGTCATTCCAAGTAAGTCTCTCGGTGACTTTGCCCGCGCAGTGTGAGGGCCTAGCAGTCGCATGCATGGGGCTCCAGTGTCTGTGCAGGTGGCATGTGGTTGAGGACATAAAGCTGAGGGATCAAGATAAGTTAACTCTGATCAGAAAAGAAAGTCAAAGAATTGGAAATGTAGGTTTCGTCCTTAAAAGGTAGCATAGAGAGCTTGGGTCTTAAAAGTGGCAATTTGAAAAACAAACCCCCAACTCGTGCTCTCCCGCCACATTCTCTGGGCAGATGGGCCCAAGGTGGGGGGCAGAATGGACCACAGACACTGCCTAATGGGGGTGTCAGGGAAATGAGTCGGGTTGCAGAGGAGCAAGGTGATCAGAGCCTCATACTGGGTTAATCTGGAGAAAATGAATTATTCCAGAAAGTTCACAAAGAAAGAAAATCCTTCCCAGAGTGAAAAGAGGTAATAAAGAGATCTAATTAAAATGCACTTCAGAATCATATGATCATCAGGAGAGAAATTAAATCTCTTTTTAAAGGAATTTTTTAAATGCCCAGGAATAAAACAAATGGGCCTACACCTTTCATTAGACAGCGAGCTGCACAAAATGCACATTAGCCCCCCTCTAATCCCTCTCAGGAGGCCTCAATCCCTCCAGCCACTCGTGGTCACAGCTGCTCTGAGCCCTCAAGGTCCTTCCCACTGGCGCCCTTGCTCCCGTGCCTGCGTAGGGAGAGACAGTCCGCCTGCCTGTCTGCAGTGCCCAGGTGGGGCCCAGGTGCAAGCTCCCTTCCGCCTGGTTTTTGTTGAGCTTCCTATCACAGTGTAACGCTGGTAACCAGAGACTCTATTTTGGGAGAGGGACAAGTCTGACAGTCATTCCAAGTAAGTCAAAGGAAATTTTTCATCGCCACTGTGTTGAGCAAACCCTTTAAACCCCAGAAAGAATCATCAAAGTCTGTTGCTCTATTTCTCTGCTTCTCGGTATAAATTTATCTGGAATACAGCAAAAAGCTCTCCCCATGCACCTCTAGAATGATTGACACTGTGACAGGTCTTTATTTGCCTGCCTGAAAATCCCTGGGGAGAGGGGGCAAACGGTGTTGTCTGCGGTCGAGGCTGTCCCCTAGCTCACCTACATCTGTCTGGCCCTTTGCGGCACAGGCCACAGGAGCAGAGAATAGAGGGACAACTGAGAGAAAATGGACCAGAAGGCAGGAAAGCACTTCAGAGAGACCTGAAATGTGGGATGCTGTAAAAAGATGAGAAGGATAGCCGGGGATTCCAGACTCGCACCTGTGTTTGGACCCGAGGGAATTCTGACAGCACCTGGAGAGAGAAAGAGAATTTTTGTTCTCTTTGAAGAAAAATTTGGCAGAAAAATCAAAACAGATCTCACATGTCAAACCTCTTCTAATTACAGCCTTTTATCTCCACTTCTCTCAGTTGTTCCAACAGGAAGTGACATGAAGGGGTCACTGGTGGCTTTAAAACATTGTATATGTATTGTGAGGAGGGGGTCACGAGACATGAGGGTGGGGAGCCTTGCAGTAGTTTGAAGAATTTGGAGCAATGGTTTTTGCAATGACTTAGAACACTGTGTGTCTATCTCTGGAAGTGAGAAATTAACCTTTGGGACTGGAACCAGACTTACCATTACACCCAGTAAGTATGTCGTTCTTGGTCAGAAATCAGTTCTTCATTCATTTTCAGGTTGCCTCTGTATAAGATTCTGGGAGGGAGGAGTTGTACTAGACCGTGCAGACTTAGGAGAGTTTCCATCTGTCCTTTCTCATAACTGGTAGAGACGGGTGTTAGCCAAATATCTGAGTTTTCTGGGCGAACTCCAGTCTTGAATATTTAATTCAAAACTAGAAAGTATGATTCACAATTCTGTTTTTGCTGCTGCCGTTATGTGCTAATGTGACATGTGAAGAGAGTTCAGACAGAATGACTGCATCTTCACTTTTATCATGTATGATCATTTTAACTTTGAATACTGCTAGTGTTCGAAAGAAATGGTAGAAATGTAGGCTCTCAAGGAGGCGAGCAAACCAGAAGATCCAGAGAGGCAGGCAGACAGAATGCCAGGCAGAATAACTTTACAGAACTGGTCCATGTGTGTCTCTCTTTGCAGATGGCAAAGGTATTTGAAAAGGTGCTAAGAGCTAATGTTCTGGGTAGGACTGGCTTATTCAATGGGGAACTGAGCACTGATCCCAAGGGGAAGGTTTAAATTTGGAAAAGGGGGGATGGGGTGGGGGAGTGGGGATTGGAGTTTATCAGTGCAGCAGCACATCTGAATTTAGTAACTTAGTTTGGGCAAGGCACAGAATTTACTGGTAAAAACAACTCTGTCTGAGATTAGATAGAGGATAGAGGATAGATAGATAGATAGATAGATAGATAGATAGATAGATAGATAGATAGAGTATATATGCACAGAGTAGAATAATGTAAAAAACACAGGGCAAATAAATTTCTTGCACCTGAAATTAAAAGCTGTGGAAAATTTGAATATGTTCCCTTTGTAACCAAAGACAACCTCCCCAAATGGAAAGAAAAGCAGACTAAAAGAGCAAGAGCTGGGGGGATGGAACCCTTCCAAGTCTGGATTTCCCAACTGTCTTAACCACTCAGTTACCTAGAGGAATCTTTTTTTTTTTTTATCCCTGCATTAGAAATTAAAGCCATGAGTATTGAGGCCAAATTTGGATGGCTCAGACTCTTAGAGTGAAAATTACATGATAAAGCACCTCCCAGCGAGGCTGTATAAAGCGCCGTTAAACATCAAAGTGTTTTTCTTCTCCTCTCTCTGGATAGAATAGGGAAGGGGTGCTCTTCACTGGGAGCTCAGAGTGTCCAGAGTTACAAAGCAAGACACTAGTAAACCTGAGCTGTGGGTTCTGGGGACCCAGCAATGGTCAGTCTGCTGCCTCCCACAGATGCCACAGTAGCCAGAAGCGTGCAGGAAACAGGTGAACACAGGATACGCCCGGGGAAACGCCACACCCCTGTGCCACTAATAGCAACTCCGTGTAAGAATGCTTTTCCCAGTGGCTCTAAACCAACTCAGAGCCCCAAATATTTGAAATTATGTGGAAGCCAGCTAACATGAGTTCTCTTCCCAGAAGTGCTTTCAGAAATGTTTAGTGGTTGGTAGTTGCTATGGGTTTTGAAATTGGAGGACATCACTGCAGAGTAGAATGGTTTGAACTGGGTGGGGGTATGATTAAGATTAATGAGATGAAAGAAAATTTGGCTAACAGGCTAGAAAAGTCCTGAAAGAAAAGATACCCTAAACTTTTGTAGTATTCCTTCGAGAGAAAAGTTGTAGCACGTATCCTAGTCCGAGAAGCAAAGAGCCAACACAAGAAAGTCCATGTACAACCAACCTTTTCACATTTAGAAGTTTCTGCAAGGACTACAGTGTCCTTGGCTTCTTGACCAAATACCAGCAGATTCTTAATGCAAAATGGAACAGTCCTCTGTTTCCAGGGCCAAGTCACTCGCCCTCCCCCCCACCCCACCCCCCACATACCCACAGCCACGCGATGTTTTTGTAGAGGAGTGTGATGCTGTGTGAATTACGGAAACAAGCTGATCTTTGGCTCAGGAACCATTTTGAGAGTCCAACCTCGTGAGTATAAAATGCATTCTGGCCCTGGCCGGTTTGGCTCAGCGGTTGGAGCGTCTGCCTGTGGTCCGGAGAGACCCGGGTTCGGTTCCCACTAAGGGCATGTACCTCGGTTGCAGTTTGTCCCCGGCCCTGGTTGGTCGTGCGGGTGGCAGCCACTCGATGTGTCCCTTTCACATCAATGTTTCCCTCTCTCTCTCTCTCTCTCTCTCTCTCTCTCCCTCCTACTCTATCTGTATAAAAAATGGAAAAATGTCCTCGGGTGAGGATAAAAAAATAAAAAAATAAAAAAAATAAAATGCATTCTGGTCCACCCTGATCACACCCCGAGTTTCATTATATATTGAATAGTGGGCTCTTTCTGGTTTGGAAGTATTTGGTTCTAAAAAAAGAAAAAGTAAATTTCAGGTGCAACACAAGCACTTTATTCGTGTGATGAACTTTATGAATTCCCACGTGTTGCCTTTGAGAGTGTTCATCACACCAATTAACTGGTGGGACCCACAGTTATATTAAAAATAGAGTTACTTTAGTTCTATTTTTAAATAGAATTAAAAATGTTTTTTTTAAATATCAACAACTCTGTGGATCACACTGCTTGCTGTTTGGGTGTCTTAGCTCTTAAGATGGAAACCTTAGTCTGTATTCTTGAGCTTAGAGATTGTGACTTAGAAAGCCTGTGACTTCAAGCGGTGAGAAAAGATCTACGCTGCTTGGCTCAGGGCATCTCTGGATCAGTGTCAAGAGAGAGCCAGGGCGGACGCAGGGGTGAGGGGAGATGACAGGTGTCTGCCCTGTTTCTGTAAAGCTGCTGACAGCAGTGGGAACACTGGCGGTGGAGACAAGCTGACTTTTGGGACCGGGACCCGTTTAGCCGTGAGGCCCAGTAAGTCTGAGAGGAGAGTGAAATCTCTGTGTGTTTTCCTATTATGTGTTCTAATCTGATGTTTGGCTTGTCCTGTTTGGGATTCCAGATACACAACCCATAGCATCTTTTTGTGCCCTTTAAGTATTTGTGACTAAGGGCCTCTATCCTACCCATCCTCCCTACACGGTGGGGGAGAATTTTGTGGCCATGGCCACTCTCCGGAAGAAGTCAGTGGTGATGCAGTGGCCAGCTGTGTGGTGGCACTCCCAGCACTCACCTCGGGCCCCTTGCCTTGGTTATGTGTGTTTGAAGCTTTTCTGACACAAGAGAGGGACAAAAGCGACTGGCAGCCCCAGCCAGGGCTGTGAGCTCTCCCTGGTATCTGTGGGCTTTAGAGTCACTGTAGAGGTTCTGAGAGGTTCAGGGCCCGGGTCTCTGGCAAAGGGATTTATGCAAAGGGTTGTCCCAGAGTGTGAATACAGGAAGAGGCACTAACCTACTCACCTTTGGGAGAGGGACCCAGCTCATCATCCAGCCCTGTAAGTGCTTCTGCTGGGGAGATGGGATCTAAATGCAGTTCCCATGGGGACATTTCTAAACCCCGCTAATGGGCCTCTGGCACCACTGCCGTCGCCGCGCAGTCCTAAGCACACAGTAGGTTATGAATTGTGTGGATGAGGGAGGTGATACAGTCTGCGCTTCAGAGGACTCCTGGGTGCTTTTGTGACTGTATTTGACTACAAGGCCATTATTCTGGGCTCCAGCAGACAACGGGTACCCTTAGGACTGGGGCACACACATAGGCAGGCCTCGTGGTCAGCGGCACCTTTGCAGTGACAGTGGCTTTTGTAGGAACAATGAAAATAGCCAGGTAGGTAGAGGTTTAATTGTTTCCCCTTTTCTGTCTTCGTGCCCTCTTTTCTGCCTGACTTAGGGACCTTAAGATGGAACAGTTATTAATCATTTGATTTCTGAGCCCCATCACTCATCAAGTTGGACAAGAGAGATCCATTAACATGAACATAAAACCCAGAAAGAGAAGGGCAAAGAGCTCAGTTCCCAATGTCTACAGAGTTGAGCTTGACAGCTCCTGTGCCTTAATCAGCCAGCCAGCACCTCGTGATCAGGTGAAGTCAAAGGGGTCACTAACACGTAGTGCTAGCCAAGCAAATATCTGGCCAGAGCCCTGCTGCCCTTGTAGGGGTTAAAACTGAAGCGTTTGGGCATTGGAAATAGATCCTTGAGGGCTCACCCAAGCTGCCCATCTGGGAAGGTCATGGGGAGTGAGCTCTGAGTAAGGAAGTGGAGGGTGGAGGCCAGGTGGAAATTTAAGCAACAGGTTTCTGTTAGGGAGCATCTCACTGTGCAAGCACTGGCAGC